TCTCACATGACTAGTATTCATTGATCTCATGTGATTAGTAACAAGGTTGTCTGAGTTCCTAATTCTGTGCGACACTGCTAGAAGGACCTCAGCGCAAGATATTTTGTGGGCTCTTCTCACCTCAAGGCACGGTCACGCAAACACACACACACACACACACACACACAGGTTTTTAAATAACTGTCAGGACATTCATTGAGATAATGCACATTCCCTGTCCCCTTACTCTAACCTTAACTATCACAACTACAGTAAATGTCAGACAGCCACAAACCAGAGCTGTAGCAAGCTGAAAGGGTTTATCACTGCGGTATCGAACACAATAACATCGTTGCCAAATTTGTACAAAACTGACCCAGAATTAGTAAATTGGTTTAAGATGCAGATTGTATTATCAGATTAATTATCTTCTGCCCACCATTAGACTACGTTCACACTGCAGGTCTTAATGCTCAGATCAGATTTTTTGCCGAAATCCGATTTTTTTTGCGCTGTTGTTCCCACTGTCATTTAAATGCGACTGCCATCTGTCTCATGTGTGAACGGTATACGGCCCTGAGGTGACCCGCATGCGCAGAAGAGGACGTGACGTCAGTTGCAGCATACTGTGTTTGCAAAAATAAAAAAGGATGCGGCTCGTGATAGCATGTGCGTAGCGATGTACCAGTTAATGTGCAATCGAAATAAAGAAATAATAAGAAGAAGAATATCAAGAAGAAGGAGAGCACAAATATTACTTATGGCCTCGCCTCCTCCAGCGCAGAATTGTGACGTTTGTCGCATTTCAATGACATAAAAATCGCATGAAATGTGACATGGCCGTTCAGACTGAAGTCGCATTGCAAAAACGTCAGATTTGTATCCGATTTAGGACCACATATGAAAGTGGCCTGGGCTGGATTTGAAAAAATCGGATTTGTGCTGTTCACACTGTCATAAGGAAATCGGATATGGGTCGCATTTGGGCAAAAAGATCGGATTTGAGCCACTTCAGCCTGCAGTGTGAACGTGGCCTTAGAGGCACATTGAAAAGCACATTGGCTGTCACAGTTGACTTATAACTTCATCTTTTATGTGACTTGTCAAGCTTTTAGTAAATAAACAGACTTCTTTCAAACATTTAATATTTTGTCCTGAGGGTTAAACTAGGAAAGTTTCACATCAATCCAGTTTGTAGTGAGTCGTGTTTATGGAAAAATCATAGGTGCCCAAAATAGCTGCCCCTGCTTTTCAACGTGATGCTGCTGATTCTAACCAAGGTTTCAGTATGTAATGAAGTAGTGCTGGTGTATATGTGTTCTTCTCTCTGAATAGATACTGGTTTGGCCTTAAAGTTTGCTGGTTGTGGTCATGAAATGCTTCAAGATAAAAGACAAAAATTAGTGGTTTGGTTTGGTTCACATGAAACAGCCACTTTGTTTCCAGCCATATTGTATAATGTGTTATGTTTAGGATAGTCCAGCCAAGTGGGCTAACAGGCTGTAGCTAGCAGACGTTAAACTGCACTGGCCTCAAGCCATCTTCCTGAGGGTTTATTCAGCCTGATTAGCTGGCAGACACTGACCCACTAGCAGATCAGATTATGAGTCTGGGACTATGTCATGGCAATGTTTGCAAGTGTTGCAGATCATTACATTTGGAAAGAAAGACGTATATACTTTATTGGCTGTCACTGTGTCAGGATAAAAAGATAGATCTTTGAAACGGAATGTTTTTATTAGAGACAAACAGTTCACATCACATGCAAAGTATTGTGAAAATAAAATTATAGTTCATGTCATCATATCAGAGTATAGCTGTTAATTGAAATGAAGCAGCTTAATCGGTCTGGAATTAATGACGTCTCAGTAAACTGTGTGAACTTAAGCAGTTACTGGCCTGTGGTCAGCCTCTCAGCCTCTGTGTCTGCCTCTCACCCTTCCAGGTTGGTTCCTTCTTTATGATCAACCTGTGCCTCGTGGTCATCGCCACCCAGTTCTCAGAGACCAAGCAGAGGGAGCACCAGCTGATGCAGGAGCAGCGAGCACAGCGCTCGTCCTCCTCCACGCTCGCCAGTGAACCTGGGGACTGCTACGAGGAGCTCTTTCAGCTGGTTTGCCACTTTCTCCGCAAGGCCAGGAGACAAACTGTCACCCTTTTCAACACCTTGCGGGGGAAACCTCGTGGCTTTCGGGGTGTCGGTAGAGGTAGACTGGGTGGAGAAGGTAGGGAGAGAAATGCCAACGGACGGGGAGGACGCGAGAGGAGGGCAGTGTTGAGGCACGGTATGTAAGTGTAAAATTATTAAGACAGCAGTATTTAGATGCATGGTTGACACTGCACTGACCCTTTAACACCAGCCATTTGCACAATTTCAGGTCCTCCCTGTCCTTATCATAATAAGCCCGATCATGCCTCACCTGCTGATCCTATGGCTCTCACCACCACCTCTGCCAGCGACAGCTGCCCTCAGTGTGCCACAGCCCTGTCACTCACTGATGGTGTTGGCCCAGTTCATGGTGCAGCCAGCGAGGAAGCAGAGGAGGGATCTATGGAGGAAACAGACAGGGAGCAGGTACAGTCTGCTGGTAAAGAGAAGGACAAGAAAGACCAGAACAACGCAGGGACCCATTCTGATTGTAATCCTAAGAAGCAATGCAAGAACCTATGGCATGAGATAAGGCTGAAGCTGTGGGGCATCGTGGAGAGTAAGTACTTCAACCGAGGCATCATGATCGCCATCCTGATCAACACCATCAGCATGGGCATCGAGCACCATGAGCAGGTATTTGTTGCATGTGTTTTCTAAATGATTTTAATCAACTTGTCCACTTCATGGGAACAGCTGGGTGGGACATTATACAGTGAAAAGGGACACTTGGCATTTTACAAGCTTTATGTCTGAAATAAACTGGAATTGGTTGACTCATGGTAATTACATGGGTGGCATGGTGGGGCAGTGATTAGCGCTGTTTCCTTGCAGCAAGAAGGTTCTGGGTTTGAGCCCGGGCCGACCCGGGACCTTTCTGTGCAGAGTTTGCATGTTCTCCCTGTGCCTCTGTGGGTTCTCTCCAGGTACTCCGGCTTCCTCCCACAGTTCAAAGACATGCATCTTAGTTTGATTGCCGACTCTTAAGTTGCCCTTAGGAGTGAGCGGTTGCGTCTTCAGGCAAGTTTCATTTATTAGTTGTAATGTTGGATGGAATATTGTTTATTTTGTATGTATGTGTGAGTTGATCTTCAGTTGGCATGTACCAGCAAGCTAACTTTATGAATAGGGAATCCTTAGCAGTGAAAGCTGAAGGACCTGCCTGTTTATTACTTTGTAGATGCACCAGCTCTTCGTCTCTCACTTCCTACAGTTGTTTCAGGGACAGCTGACAACCATGCTGCCTGGAGTGTGAATCCATAATCTCTTTTAGTTTCTCTCCCTGTCACTCTGTGTCCACACTCCTCTGTTCTTTCTTCCACACATCTATCTTTTCCTCCTCCTGCTTTCATAATGCCTGTATAATGTGAGTCCCCAGCCAACAGGACACACATGTCTACACTCAGGTTAGGCAGCAGGAGCATTATCACACCTTTGTTTCAGATCACCAAGCTCTCCAAGCAACCTCTGTGTTTTCTAACTTTTCTTGTTTTTGTCTTATTTCCTGTCTCTTTCTGTCGCTCTGCTTTGTGCACTCTTTGTCTTTCTATCAATATTTCTCACTCTCGCTATACTATCGCCCACTCACGCCTGCCACCGCCACAGTGGTGGGTCGTCTCTCATCTCAGCGGCGGCTAAAAATAGATACAGACGGATCAAGAGAGGCAGAGAGAGACTTTGGTCCATTAACGGGAAGGAAATAGCGAGCTGGAATGTCTGTGGCTCCACTGTCTGTTTAGTAAATCGGAGTCATGCCTCTTTCTGTTTGAACGGTGCCATCAGAGGCCTAATCTGTCTTGTTGCTGTGATCTTCATCCTGTAGAGAGGTGCTCTTCTACTATGCCTGTGGTCTTCTGCTCTGCTGGTGTGAGAAAAAAACAATCTGCCTCATATCAATCAGGGAATCAGTGGTTACCTTTAGCCAAAGACATGCCTGTTGCTTCATGGTCTGATAAATAGCCTGTCTGATTGACAGCCTGGAGTGTTTGTAATCTAGAATTACATTGCATTAATTACTAGCACAAAGTGTTTTCTGCCTTTTTTTTTTTAAACCTTTGTTAAACACCTAAGAAAGAGTTTGTTATATCATGTGACAGTGTAACAAGATACGTATAGAGAAAAGGTAAAGAGTCGCCAAAATCAGCAACCTTTATCTAAGGTTTGCTGACATTAGCCACCATATGCTGCTGGTCATACCGGACAAGGCTGTAATAGCCAGGTCCTGTTTGTGCTAAAATAAACCTCCACCTCTCAAAAGTTGCACAGTTTCACTTTAAAAGGAAACTTGTTGTGACATTGTTTATCTTTAGTGCCAAGTGGACCTTGAATTGTTCTTGACATCACAGATATGGTAGTAATTCTTGGGATGCAGTTGTCAGAGCATTCTGTCAATATCTTACACATTACATGCTACAATGACATGCATATTACTAAAATACAAGGTTGTATCCCCCTGTCGGTGTGGATGGATTGGTCATGTTAGAAGACAACTGATTGTGTGACGGGCACTTTGGAGATTTGATGGCGATGGATGCAGCTCAAACACCACTGCTGTCTTCCTCTGTCAAAATGTCAATATTAACACTGAAGGAAATGATTGATGATTATTAAGGTAATAGGAACAGCCATGGTTACAGTCAACACCCATGAGCCCGCTTTCACAGTTTTGGGGGGCACCTATCACATGCAGTTTCAAATGACCTGCCAGCAAAACCGGTAATATGAGGCAAATATAGGTAAGAGAGTTAAAAAATAAAGCCATAATTGGATTTTGCAAGACAATAAATCAAATCACAAAAAACAGATGGATGTCTTAGAATAGAAAATAAGAGCAGGATTTGAATTTGGCAGTTAGACACCTGCAGTTACTTGCAGCCAAGCTTCATGTTGTGAAGAAATACAACCTTCCAACCCTACCTGAGGATTATTGGAAAATAAATAACCTAAGATGGTTATCTGCATTAACCAAAGCTTCTGTTGAAACTTTAAAAAGCTCTTATTAGAGAGGTGATCTCACTCAGTGCAGTAAACATTTTAGGGTTTTTTTAATCAACAAAGAGAACATTCAGTCATTCATTCATCTTCTACCGCTTAATCGGCGGAGCCAATCCCGGCCGGCAATCAGATGCTAAAAACATTAGAGCAGTGAAATGGTCAAAAAAGTTGAGCTTTTTGCAAAAAGTTGTAAGAGAACAGAGATTGTTATTTCCATTATCACATTACTGGTGTTTATTCGTATTATGTGATATATTTACTATCACAAAAATGAGACAGGTGAAAAGCTACTGCAGTGACAGGGGTCAGACTTACTGTGCACCAGATGCTAAAAACATTAGAGCAGTGAAATGGTCAAAAAGGTTGAGCTTTTTGCAAAAAGTTGTAAAATTAGCCACATAGAGGATCATCACAGGGACCTCATATTGCTAAACAAGTTTGTCATTACATTACAAAATGTCACATATTACATTACAAAAATGATATCTGTAAGTGTTTTGTGATCAGCCACCTCTTTAGTCAGGGTTTAGCAAATAAAGTTGTTTGGTTAAGGTTATGGAAAGATCAGAGTCATGGTTAAAAGAAGCCGGTGTTGACTGATGGTAGGAGACAGGATGCAAACTGCAGATTCAAATGTCAAGGTCGGACACATGGTACACCCAGCCATGCACATCCTCCTCTTTCTCCTAAGTGCCACACACCACAGCTGTTATGTGCAACAGATTTACCTGCATCTCCAGTTTAAATACCATGTCTGCTAACGTGTATCAGCCAAGATAATGCCCTTAATAGACACTGAAAGGTTATCAGCGCATGATAAGGAATAAATCGCCTTTGTGTACACATTTTAGGGGCAACCCCGTCTAGCTGCTGCAAGCAAAGACACAGCAGTAACAGCCTTTTAGCACTAGCACTGGTTAGGTTAGGGTAGGGAAGTTGATGTTTAAACATTGTGTGTAGTTCACTTT